CTGGTTCAATACATTTCAGCTCCATAGAACTCTGCGGTTTAGAAAAGTAACCATTAAATTATTGACTGTCCTTAACACCTCTGTCACTAATTACTGTATTATTTAATCTGGGTTCCTTCAATACTCTTTCACAGATGTCAGCAAGGGTCTTATATTTTTAAATAAGTGATTAAATAGTGAAATATGTTTTAAAATGGATGCTTGGAGAAATTATATCTGACATTATATATATTTTGTGAGCCATTTATCAGCGGCAGATTTTCCATATGATTTAAGCCTCCTTGTTTTTCCAAAGATCCTTGCGTGAAGCGCAAGGGTGGGTCTTCCGGAGAGTCCAACGCACACAAATCATTTATCTTGGTGGTGCAGCCTGCTGTGCGTCAACATGCCTGTTTATTTTGGGATGGCGGTTTGGACTGAATGAGTAATGCTTGGTTTGAATGAATGTCAGTTTTTTCTATTGCAATTTACACTCAATTTACAGCAGGTTTAAATGTTAAGTAGTAAACAAACTGGTTAAAGAAGTAAATTTGCAGTCAAACTGGTTTGAACATCAGTAAAACTTTAAGATAAAATTCATTTTTAAATTATTATTTTTTATCTTGTTGCAAGTGTTTCCCCAGTATATTGCACTGGTATTAATAAAAATGTGTTGACTTTATTTGGTTTTAGGAAGTTCCCAAAAAAAATTTCGTCATCACCTACACCATCTTGCACATTTGTAGGACCTGCCGAGGACCTGCCGCGGACCTGCAGAGGACCAGCCGAGGACCTGCCGCAGACCTGCAGAGGACCTGCCGAGGACCTGCCGCGGACCTGCAGAGGACCTGCGCATAGTGTTTCAGTATGAATTGTTAGAAGCCAGCAAAGGATTAATGGTGTCTAGTGAAGCATATAAAAAACTTACAAAAAAATTAGGTCAGAGGCATATAAAGGCATGTATCAGAGGCATATAAAAAACTTACATATTAACTTTGTATTTCATGCATAAAAAAAAGAAAATTCTGTGCACACAGTGGATGCAAATAACATCTTGTTGATGTTGATATATTTAGATTTAAAAGCTATATTTATAATCCATACATACACATACAAATGTAATTATTTATAGATATACACAGTGTCTATATAATATATACAGTACTGTGCAAAAGCCATTATATCTAAAGCTATTTATCTGGGCAGATGCTCAGAAAACTCAATTTGATATTATTATTGATTAAAAATGTTTACAAATTAATATTCCTGTAGATTAATCACGCCTAACCTTAAAACATATAATCATAAAGACTTACTCACTGAATGTCCAAATTAATGTATAATTAACACAAAATAAGTATAGTATGATATTTGTTTAATGGTTTAACTTAAATATGTGATGTATAGACTACTCATTTCTAACAAAAAAACTATTGTGCATGTACAAATTCAATTTCAATTCAATTATGAGAGTGTGCAACGTTACGACCGAAGCTCCTCATGGGTTACAAGCAGCAAAGTATACTATAGGTCCCCGTTATAAATCTATACTCATACGAAGGCATCAAAACACCTCATGCGTTAATGCCATGAAAGGTGTGACACTACACATTAACTTTCTCAGCGCTAATTATAACACTAATAAATGAAAATACAATAAAAGATAACAAGATATTCTTCTTCTCTAAAAACATTACTGGTTTAACTTAAATGTGTGAAATATGTATGGTATCATTGGATACCTCAACTACTCCCTCTTAAATTTCAGTAACAGTTCACTTAATTACTTAATAAATTAATTGGTTAATTGGCTTAATGAGGTATTAGCTAGTCAAACAATGTGTGCTTGTAATCCATTTCAACAAACACAGGGTTATATTGATAACCGCAAAGATTTTGGTGATTGCGAAATTTTATGTGCCAGCCTAAGGCATTATTATATATATGTATGTATACACAGAAATGCATTTACATTGACAGCATGGAATCTCCTTTTATATACAACAGACAGGCATGTTTTCTTACCACTGTCTTCCACCCAGGCAACTTATCTTAGAATAGATCTTTAAAGAGACACTCATATTTCATAATGACCTTCATACCCTGATTTTTTTGGACCGCCTTCAGGGAATATTAATGACATTATATGTCATTCTTCCCATTTCTAGTCAGAACTGCTGAGCGTGGAAATTATGCATGTGATTAATTATGAATCTGCGACTCAGCATGAAAACATCCCAGAATATTCCCGATCATGTGGCAGTTCTTTCCAGACGCCTTAATGTTCAGTGCCGTTCTTCGCAGCGTCCCAGCAATTCTCTGTCATGTTGCCAAATAAATCGGCCAAAAATTTTCGGTTACTTTTGGATACCACACCAAAAATGACAGACCAAAGTGATCGCTGCAGAGCTACCGTTGGCTTGCTGATTCAATCAATTATTGCTCAGAAAGTACACATCACCTTAAATACAGATGAGCATTACACACATTTTCCGTTTCACATATTCTGTAAACTGCTGTGTCGTCACATATAAGTTGATATACAAATATCTGTAAAGGCGGGAACTGTATAACAATAATTTGTTTGGCCTGGGTTGCGGTCTTTAAAAATACAGCGAGGGTCCTTCTATTTACATGGAATAGGGCCTCCACCCAATGCAAGATGCAGATATCCATGCAGCACAGAAACTGTCACTCTGACTACAGGAGTTGATGGAAACCAGTCCTCAGCTTCTCTAAGCAGAAATACTGTGTGGCAGCAGGTATCTAAGACAACATTTACCAGCCCCTCCCAATAACCACTGGTACAGGCATGGAAACTGCCCTGCCAAATGTCAAGGAACTACAAGAAAACGCGAATAGTATGCAATCTGTGTAGTTACTGTATGTGTGCAATACAAATACACATTTTTCTTTCTTATTTATTTCTGTCTGTTAGAGTATCTTTTTTTCTTGCTTTTTCCATTGCTATTTTACATTAGGCTGCTGTAACAAGTAGATTTCCCTGGTGTGGGTTCAATAAAGTCTCATCTCATCTCATCTCATCTTATCTTAAATGCACATGTTTTGGTTTGCAAAGAACTTCATAGGTGTTGATTTGGAAGCATATTTAGGGTGAAGTGAAGATGGTCACCTTAATCACAGCTGTTTGTTGAGGTTCTGAAGGAGGACTGGAGCGCAATACCACCAGAAATCGGCAAAGAAAGTCCAAGCAAAGACCAAAAGCCTATTAATATCTACTCATTACTAAGGTCTTGGTTTGACTGTACAATTCAATTTGTACAAATGTTGTAACCCCCCCCCCCCAATAAATCAAAACCAGCTAATACAACCCCTCTAATAATCATGTTTCCCCCGTAATGGGTGGGGACCTCAACCCCCCCAATGTTACACCCTTGTATACGTGTATAGTTTTCCTGCCAAGAACACGCTTGAATTGTCATCATTTTTCAATTGCAAACACTTGGCACAGGAAGCAATTTTTATTTCGATCTGTTTTTTCATATTGTGACTGGTCAGCTACTTATTTATCCGAAGCTACTTACAAGATGCACAGCTTTGTACTTCTGCACTAGCCCAGCAACACGCGTCCAGTGCCATTCTAAAGTGCAATCCGGAGAAGCTGCTTATTTACTTATAGCCAAGCAAATAAACTGCTAAGTTACCCTCCGCCCTATGAGGTAAGTTAGGGCATCAGACGGATGCACTCAAACACTGGTGCGTTCAAGGGGAAAACTAACCACAGCAGGGAGCTCAGTACAGATCTGTCGCTCCTGTACAGGTACGAAAACAGCTATTCCTCTCAGGCATACTTATGCCGGAATTAAGGTGCGTGCCCTCTTACAGCTGTAAATATTTAAATTCTGTCCTGGTGCATAATTCTGTCCTGGTACAAAATCCTTTTTAAAGCTGCAGCTTTCTCCCATTCCTGGGACAATGTGTCCCCTCGCCACGTCTGTGTGTAGGCATCTCTGTTGTTCCCCGGTTGCCTTGTAGCCTCGTGACGCTCACTGAGATTCGGCCTGGGGAAAGTCCCCAGATTTGGTAACGAGAACACCGTTGCCGAGCAACAATGCCAGCGGTAAGGCAGGGTAGACAAACAGGGCAGCACTGATATGAGTGCCGTCTCGCAGCACTGGGTACCTTCACATCTGGACAAAGCAGAATGGGGGGGAAGTAAAACTGAAAGGTGTGTGAGATATGTCCTACCACAAGACTCATTGAGTCGCATTCTTCAGAATCTTTACTGCAGTTGCCAAATTAACCTATCAGCGATATGGGAAAATTATGTTGACAGCTGCATCTAATATGTAGGCTCGGTATAGATTAAGCCTATACAAAATTTGTGTTTGCTATTTGAAAGCACACTGTGATAGATCTTTGCTTTTTTCCGTCTTGCATACCGCTTTGGTCAGTGCAATCAAAACTGCATCCAGCACAATTTAAGGCAACTCAGTTCTCAGCCTGTTCAGGACTCAAAACCCACGACAGCAGAATACAAACATGATGTGCTAAGTCACAAATGCGGCAAGTTTCGATGTTTTTGAATAGAACCGTCTACAAAATGACATCCATGTTTGAGTTATCCGTTGTTAAACTGGTAGGTCATCGTGAAAGTGGAAAATTTTTAAGTGTAGGAATGCATACACGTTACTATGTCTAGCTGCAGAGGGAGACAGTGGGAACGTGCGTGTGCTGGCACGGGTCGGGCTTGTGTGCTGGCACGGGTCGGGCTTGTGTGCTGGCACGGGGACACGTGCGTGTGCTGGCATGGGGACGTGTGCCCATATGTGGGGACACCTACCTGCAACAAACACATGCTGTAAGTAGTCCCTGATGGCCGACACACTTTGATGAGTTCAAACATCTAGGGATCCAACCCTGTTTAGGGATGCTACTTACTTTTTATTGTTTTTTTTCCCTGTACAGTGGGGGGGGGGAGGGGAATATATTATGTCCCCCTGCCCCCCTCTATCTGCACCCCTGCCTGCAACATCTAATGCAGTAGAAATGGACTTCATGCAAGAAATATGGCCCACCTCCCCCACCCCATTCGTCTTATTAGCCTTGGGGGGCATCTTCTTTCAGTTAACAATTCATGCCACCAGCCCTGCTTATAGCTGATGTTCTCCACCCTCAAGGATCCTCAGGGACAATCCTCCAGCAGTCCTGAGGTGGCGTCCTGGAGGTTCTACAGCAGCAGTAGGCAGAGTCATTGTAGACCATGTGGTTCTGCAGGTTCTTCAGCAGGTTTTAGCAAGTTCAGGCCTCATAGATCACAGATGTTTGCGGTTTTTTTCTGCAGAACTCTTGAGTTATTACTGTTCATTGTTGGTTAAATTAACTGACGGATCATATAAACCTAGGATCATGGGGTGAGGCATCAACCAGGAGGTTCTACAGCAGTATTAGATGGTTGCACTCTAAGATTTATGGTTCTTCTATTTCTGCAGCAATAGTGGAAAAACCCGGACTGCGACTGAGAATAATCACAGAGCAGAGGTATACAAACCCAGTGCTGCAGGTTCAGCTAGCTAATGAGCCCTCAGCTAATCATACAGGGCAAAAGAATTTTTCTTTTGTTATGTCCTGGAACTGGCTGCAATCACAGGTAATTAATCAGAAAATCCTTGCTTCTGGGTGCTGGTTGGCAGGTAGGATAGTGCACAGACTAAGATTGATTTGGTTCCTATGCCAGGACAGGGAATATAGTTGTTCCAGTTAAGAAGGAATTCAACCTATATACAGTAAGATAAATATCCATCTACATATATATGGAAAAAAATAAAATAGTACTACATAAGTAAAATGATTAAAGGTGCATAGGGAAATCATGTTATGTAAAATGTGTGTTAATGGAGGTTGTGTTCAAGAGGATGCAAAACGTCATGTTTTAGGAAATCACTTTGCATCACTGAACTTTTGCATCCTCTTGAACATCATTGTTCATTGTTACATAACCTGGTCCCAAGATGTATGATCACTCTCTGCAATTCAGGAGGAAGAAAAGGGAAGAAATAAGTCATTGGCATGAATGAGCTTTTGTTAAAATTAAGTGTCTTAAGTGACCATCTGCTTTTACCTTAAATTACCTCTCCCTTCAGTTAAATGGAAATGTCTCATCCAATTAGATCAGCTGTGCTGAGCCCATAATTGAAAGAGCAAGGGGGAAAGAGAGAGAGAGAGAGAGAGAGAGAGAGAGAGAGCGCACTGGGGCCACAGGGTTGCAGCAAGTCTGCTTAGGTCAGCAAGATACAGACTTAGTCTGTATGACCAGAAATGGGACTATTCTGTTGGACCCTTAAGCTGGATCACAGGAACAGGAAAATCAGGAACATAACAGGCTATGGTACATAAAATCATCTAACACAACAACAAAATGCAATATGTTAGTCGGATAAGTGAAGCCTGGCAGGGAACTGTAACATCTGTGTTTGAGTTCTTGGAATCAAAACAAGATCGAACTCAGAAGTCAGAACAGTTGTTAAATCACTATTTTTCTGCAGGGATTAAGATATTTGTGGAAGTCTTTATAAAACTGTGCTAAAATAAAAGCAGCTCTCAATTTTTATACCAGGAAGTACAAAACACCTTATTAATTACACCATTTGCACCTGAACTTTCTTCCTTCGAAAGCCAATGCCATGACATGAGAAATGAAGAGTCACGTGTAAGGAGCTTAACCCTCATCTGACTGATGGCACCTTCATCATCCTTCCTCCAGGGGGCACTGGCACAAATTCCGGCAAGATCCAACAAGCGTCAGAAATGAGTCTTTGTGGCACCTTTTGCCTTGAGTGTCTTAACTAAGACAGTGAGGCATCTTCTGGGCAACCTACACAACAGAACAGCCACTTTCACCAGCAGACAGACTCAAACGCAGACCGGAGACCCACACACATTCGGGGATCCATGAGGACGAACGTGGCTGAGGATAGCCTGCGGCATAACAGATCAATATTCCAGTTAATATCCTGTTGTATAAACAGATAAAAGCCATGAAAAATCTCCCATGAAAGCCTGAAAGCAAGCTACTGTAACTATGGTTTAACACTGCTAAATAAATCATTTAAAAATATACAACAGCAGACTCTGGGGCCCTTTGGGCATGGAATTCCCTCCTTTGTACCAGTGAGAAAATAGGTTAGAAGAACCATGTCGGACTGGCACCAGAAATATTTTAAATCTGAAAATATTGCATATCTCTGATTGCAGGTCCATACCAGAGCACTCTGCAAAGGTGTGGAAGAGTGACTCACAGCAAAAGCAAAAAAACTGCTTCCTGTCCACTTCACTGACCATCACCTTCCATTCTGATAAACAAATAAACATGAAGTTTTCACTAGCTTTCGAAAGTCAAAAACATATGAAGTGTTTAATGAATACAGCCCACTAACAAGCTTCCTTAGTTCACAAACATATCCCACAATTTCTTTCTCCACAATTAGCCTGATTAACATACCTTGTTAGTGTAGAAAAAGGCGACTTGGATGTCAGTCGATCTGAAACAGAGCACAAGTTTGTTTGTTTTGGCCTCCTGGTTGTAATAATGGGATACCTGTTCTGAGAACCAGGAAACAGGAGAGTGACTGAAGTTGCCTCTTCTCAGTTGCCACCACTGGAAATAAACACAAAAATAAGAAATCTCTTATTGAAAACACCAGGTTAAAGCCAAACGGCAAGGCTGCTAAAATGGGCATCATGACTAACATCGATGGATGCATTCACTAATAATATCAAACAAAATTTAACAAATTCTATTGTAATTTCTAATGCAATCAAGAATTCATCAGCACACTCATGCAAATCTGCAGTGAAAAAATACGGCACAGCCGACAGTTAGATAAACAGATTTAATTCTGTACCACTGCGTAACCTGAGCTATGTTCCCCTGGGAGACTCAGTGATAACAAGCTTCTGTAGCCTTGAAAGCACTTGGCTTGCACAGAAGAAAAACACAGTTCAGACAAGGAGTGTATAATTATATCCAGTACTGCTGAAAATAAGGGGGAGCTTGTGAACTACAAGCAACACAAGTGTGTCTCCGTGTGACTACACACACAGTCAGTACACTCGTCAAGGTTTTATTTTACACACATTTCTGATCCTGCTCTGCTAACTACTCAACTTAAGCATTCTTCAAAAGTGTGTGGTAACTACTCCATGCATTTAGAAATGTATTCCACAGAGACCCAGTATCAATAACTGCTGATAACTGGCCCAGTTAGGCTGGGATGTGATGGCCAGTACAACCCCAGGAAAGGCAGGTCGGAAAAATGGTAAGCGGTACCTTCTGAAAGAATAGTTATAATAATAATAGTTAATGATAATCAATAATTAACAGTTAATAATACAAACTGAAGGACATCTCACTACACCAAGGAGCACAAGTCTGATCTTACAGGATGATTTGACAAACACTTCCTGCTAAGCTGTTCATTCGTCCTGAGCTGGTACAACACCAAAGCACTTCTGTGATTGTGCCAATCAGCCAAGCTTTGGGGTGGAACTAAAAATAGACATGCCCTTTCACGTAATCTCATTTCCACAGCTGTCTGTTGCTGAGGCACTCTTCCATCGTTTAATTAGAATCATAATGATTTTTGACCTTTTTAAAATACAGCTAAGGATTGCATCTAGTTTTTCATTATGTAGTTAACTCATAAATGCATTCTGGTGCCAGAGTCTCATGGCAGCTTAGCACAGTACTATCACAACTACAGCGTTGTGGGTTTGAATCCTACGTGAGCATGGAGCTGTTCTCTCCAGCGCACGCACGATTCCCATGGATGTGCTGCTTTCCTCTTGTGGTTCAAAGACTAAATGCCATTACTCAGATGTCCATAATGCATGTATACTATGGCGGACCAGCATCCTGCCCTGGGTGTCTTACGCCTTAGCTGGCCTGGGATAAGCCTGAGACCCTGACCAAGGGAAACAGTTATAAGATGGATGGGTCCATTTGTACCGTGAAACTGCTTACGCGTCTGTAAAAAGGACACTATAAATAAAATGTATTTTTATATTATTGTTTTGTTTAATATTGCCTCGGTGGTAAATGCATAGAATAACTATTAATAAGATTAATTTATCGCACATTAATTCATGATATAGGTGGAGGACCATGAATATGCAGATTTTCAGATCAATCTGTTCAACAGTTTGCATTATTTATGGATCAAATATGGACATTGCTGGATATGGATATCTCACCCATAGGTTCATTAAATGATTTATTAATTCCTCAATTTTTATAATAAACGTTTAAGTGTAAATATGAAACTATTGACGTGTGTTTTTGTTTGGGTAGCAGTGTTTAGGCGGCGGGATTGTGTGTGGGTTACTAGACGGACGCTTGTAAGCAAAAGACAATTTAAGGAAGCGGCAGAAGTGAGGGGAGGCTAAGCGCGCGCAGACCGATTTTCTAGAGTGCTCTATGCATTTGAGCCCGCAAGGATTTTTTTCGGGCAATTTTACATCTTCAGATGATTTAATTCGTCACACGTAGAGATGCGTTGACTTTTATCAAATTACCATCAATACGAACAGCTTATATGTAAAAGCGTAAACGATAGCTCAGACACAGAACCCGTTCCTTAGCATGTCCCATAGGGGAGCGAAAAATAGGCTACACGATTTGTGAGTGACGGTTTTCTAATTTTATTGTGGTCATACTGAGAGCGCTCAACCATCTGGCCATCAGGTAATATTGTTATTAGGGAAAAATATTTTCTAAGACGCAAATCGAAAGGTCTATACATATTATATAATAGTAATAACAATAAGGGCGAGCCCAGCACCTGGCTTTACAGCCGTCTTGCGGCTGCCCTTTCGCTCCCGAGCCAATCCGTGTCCCGGGAGAGCGGCCGATTACTCATCAGAGGCTGCGTTATGTCAAGCCAATGCGGGCTGTTGTTTCTCCTGCTGAAAACACACGTAAGCGAACATCGCGTCGCAGAAGCGTCTGGCACGGAACGCCGCCGGCTGCCTGGCGACGGTGCGCTGTCTAACCAGTGATCCGCTCGGAGGAACTTGCGCCCCAGTGAATGAAAGCGAAGAGAATCGGAGCGGATTTCAGCATCGCGCCTGCATCATCTTATTTCCCCCTGACTTACAGCAGATGGAAATGCAATTTTAGAGGCCTCGAAGAGTGGAGAAATTATTCAAGGATGGGTTTTATATACAGATTAACTGACTTATTTCTTTACGAATTGCAGCACAACGAAGCGAGGACTGCTTAAAGATATTTACGTTTGCGTTCTTTTCAGACTACTGCTATTTGCAGTATTTTAACGTCTTTTTTAACCACAGTGGATTTTACTGTATGTACTACAATCCTTCAGCTGAAGATAGATAGCCATGCAGCCGGTGTTCTGAGCGGACTTTAGATCAATCAAGCCTGAATGCTGGTGCTCGGGAGAAGAAGCTGGAGGTAATTTGCATGAACCGCTACGAGTAGCTTCAGTGTTTGTATTGACATATATAATAAACATGTATACTTCCATATCTGAAATGCTGCAATGCAACATTTAACTTACACCTTACTTGCGTTTTCATTGGATGGCGCCAGCTTTCACTCAGCGTGCTGTTTTTCTAAGATAGCAGTTCCTTAGTACAAGTAAACACACTAATAGGACCATCGTGTATTGTGTTTCAAAAACGCGCCATAAAATAGATGAAAGAGCTTTGCCTGTATTGCCCTTTCCTGTGTATGCTAGGGTGACCAGATAATCCATGTCAAGGAGGACACTTTGAGCTACTTCGGGTTTTACAAACTACTTCCAAATTAAAAGGCTCCTGTGCTCGGCTAAAGAGTTCAGCTCTTCTTGTGCTTTGACTGGTTTGTTTCCTTGAGTGAAAGACTCATCCAGCTGTTTCACATTAGCATTAGTGACACATGCATGCTTATAGGAGACTGACCAATCAACACACAGCAAGAACTCGGTGCTCAAGTGAAATCCAAGTCCGTTTAATTGAAATGGTAATTTACAATTCCTGTCCTAGCTCAGAGTGTCCTCCCTGACATGGATTATCTGGTCACCCTAGTGTATGCCTAAGTGTCCGGTATAATCAGGAGAACCAAGTAACATTGTCACGCTTACCTTCCTACCCCCAGTGTTGATATCCAGCATGCATAACCTTGTCCTTGTTTTGCTTCTAGCATTTGATCTTCGCTGTATGGACCTCAGCCAGTTTCTGCTCCATGCTGCTCGGATAGGTTTGGGTGATTGCAGATGCCTGCTAGACGAAGGAGGTCCAGCACCATGCTCTCTGTAAACTCAGTGGGGGAGCCCAACTCCGGTGCTCTCTGTCTATCCTCGGGGGTTGACCGGAATCGCTGTACACAGGTGGCTCTGTGCATCTCCCTACTCTTGGGCCTCCTCCTGCCACCGCCAGGGGCGATGGGCTCCAACCTCAACTGTCACAAAACATGCATCTGCGCCAGCAACATCGTCAGCTGCTCAAAGATGAACCTGACGGCTGTACCGGCCGGCCTGCCGTGGTACGCGGCGGTGCTGGATCTCAGCTATAATGGCATCTCTGGATTGCGCGCTGAGTGGACCATCATCAAGTTGCCTAAACTCCACAGCCTCCTGCTCAGCCACAATAGCCTGAGCTTCCTGTCCACGCAGGCCTTCGTCCACATTGCCCGCCTGCGCTACTTGGACCTGTCATCCAATGCGCTGAGGCAGCTGGACGAGTTAATCTTCGAGCCCTTGGCCCAGCTGGAGGTGCTGCTGCTGTACAACAACCACATCTCCCAGATCGACCGCTCGGCCTTTGTGGGTCTCAGCAGTCTACAGAAACTCTACCTGAGCCAGAACCAGGTGTCCCGCTTCCCCTTGGAGCTGGTCAAGGAGAGGACTCGGCTGGAGAGACTCAGCCTGCTGGATGTATCCTCCAACCGGCTCAAGGCCCTGCCCATACGGGAACTCCAAGCCTTGCCTGCCTGGATCAAGAATGGGCTCTACTTCCATAACAACCCATTGGACTGTAACTGTGAGCTCTATAGCCTGCTGGCTCACTGGAACATCCGGCAGCTGAACTCCGCCATGGACTTCAAGGACGAGCACACGTGCGTCCTGCCTGGCCCGCAGAAGGCCATGGTGAGAATCATCGACCTGAATGGGGAGTACATGAACTGCAGCACGTTCGCGGAGTCTGATGAAGAGGCCTACCTGGACCAGACGCTGATCCTTGGCTGTGACACACGGCACCGTGACATGGTCAAAACTTGGGTGACACCCAGCAACACAGTGGTTCCCACTGCTGGAAACCAGAGCACTGTGGTGCTACCAGATGGAAGTTTGAGGATCAGCCCTATACGGCCGGGGGACTCTGGTCTCTACACCTGCTTTGCGGTGGGCCAGTCTGTCAATGAGACCCTCTATGTGCTGTTGAGGGTGCATAACTTCACCCTGGATGGTGCTGGTGAGACACTCAACACAGGCTACACCACACTGGTGGGCTGTTTGGCCAGCGTGGTGCTGGTGCTGGTTTACCTGTATCTGACACCCTGCCGCTGCTTCTGCTGTCTGGGTCATGGTGGCCGGGCCAAGGCTCACCGTGAGGACAGCGTTCGCTCTTCTGCGCTCAGTGCCTCTCCCGGTCCTGATGAACTAGGCGCTAGAGCTGGCCTTGCTCGTCACGTGGCCTTCATTGATCCCAAGGAGCTTCAGGGTCAGAATGGCAAAGTGGGCCTTGTCAACGAGCAGGAGGGAGAGGGCCAGAAGAGCAGGAGGAAGAAGTCAGACGCGGAATCCATCAGCTCTGTCTTCTCAGACACTCCTATTGTGGTCTGAGAGGAGGACCTTTCTCGCTGGCATTGAGTGTCATTTCAGGACGTCCATGTTCTGTGCATCTGTGGTGTCTGAGGAGAGGAAGGGGGTGGCCATCTCCAGATAAGTAGGAACACTTGTTAGTGTTACCGTGATGTCCAAGGAGAGGAAGGGGATGGCCATTCCCAGGTCATTAGGTACACTGGTCAGTGTTACCGTGATGTCCAAGGAGAGGAAGGGGATGGCCATTCCCAGGTCATTAGGAACACTGGTTAGTGTTTGACTGTTTGCTTCACATTGACAACAAGAACAAAGCAGGATGTTCAGAATTTTGCCAGCAATTGAATAATTGAATCTGTAGCACTTAAACATGTATACTGTGAAATAGCCTGATGTATGGTTACAGAAACAACATGAAAAAACAGTAAAAATGAATGGAAATGTAGAATATCTGGAATGGGGGGGGAGGTTTACTGGTGTTACATAGGAACAGCCTGCTGTGTGTAATTTCCTTCCTTTCCTAACTGAGCTCTCTTACCTGCCCCCTCCCTCTCTGTTGATGGGGGCAGGAGTGAGATGAATAGTCACAGACAGGCATGAGCTGCACAAAAGTGCTCGGGGTGTTTGAGATGCGGCCTGGCGCTCATTCTGGGACAGACCTTGCTGATGGCTTTTGTTCCCCCCAGAAAATGCAATAAAATAAAGACAGCCATAAACGGCCATTATCTGTGTGCAGAGAGCCAGCTCCGTCACCAATTCAGACACCTTCTGGTGCTCATAACGTGCGAAGTGTGCACGGGCATTAAGGGAGGAAAAAATCACTAATGGCTGGTAGCACAAAGCTTTCCAATAAGAGCGATTTTACAGACACTGAATTTCTATAAACAAACGTCCGCAGCCACACCAGAGTGGGTCTGTGATGTGTAGCCAAGGTTTACCAGCAGTGGTATTTCATTAGCAGCCCCCCCCCATCCCCTGTTCAATGACAGCCTCAGCCCCACAGAGTGTGCCGTCGTGGGATTCGCTCTCTATCCTCATAGGTTAGTTATTCAGCAAAGGATCAGTTTCTCCGGGAGGATGTGTGAGCACGCGTTTGTAGATTTACATCAGTTGGTTATCCACGTATATCACACTGGTAATTTATCATTAAATGTAATCTTACTGAAATTTATATACTTATGACTAAGAGACGTTAAACTTTTTTATGATTATACGCACATTTGATTCACAGCAATATCCTTAATTTCTGATTGATCCCATCAGCAGTTTAGCTTCAGTGTTTAAATGGCAAATTAAAGTAATTTTTCTCATGAAGTTGCACTACTATTTTTTTCCCCATCCAATACTAAATTAAACTGAATTGTTCAAAGTGTTGGTGGTTGGGGGGGGGGGGCTTCACAGAATATTTAGCCATGTCATCATAAATATCTCAGCAATCACTTTTTCTGGACATGTTGAATTCTTTGCATTTGGAAGGAAATTACTTCTCAACATACCAATTTGTGCTCATTGTTTTGTCTTTTAAGGAGAAAGACTGAAAGCTGAATCACATTCGGTAGCAGATGATTCATGCTCACTCCTTGACGTCATATAGAATCATTCAGTTCTCCACCTTGTGTTAGTTTTTTTTTCCCTCCTGTGTATTATGTCATCAGTCCAGAGCAGCGGTGACCTGTCTTATCCGCAAAGGGCCGGTGTGTGTGCGGGTTTTTGGGGTAACCTTTAGGTCAGCTGTTCAAACCCAGGTGTGAGGACTCTTCAGCAAATCAGTCCTCTAATTAGTGACCTAATTAGGGAGGTGCAGCGAAAACCTGCGTACACACCGGCCCTTTGTGGATAAGATTGCGCACCCCTGGTGCAGAGCCTTCTGTTAAATTCACATTGTACTTTGCCCTTTTTCATCTGATGGCCGCAGACGCGTTACTGTGAAATGCTTCCATGTTTGGAGTCCGTTCTTTGCCATATGCTTAGCAGATACTTCCATCTAGAAGATAACAGCAAGGAAGTGATTTAGTCTGCACTGGCCAATTAACACAGGAAACAGAGTATTTATGAAACACTGCGGCTTGAGTTGCAGTGTTTAAAATACCGGCTGTTTTAGCCAAAAGTGTGCAGGTGAATCCACATGCTAATTGCTTTGAGAAATTTAGTAAACCAGAATCCTTTCAGAGAAAAAAATCACACAGTATAAAATGGTCAAACACAGCTGTAAGATACGTCTGCCATTTAAGACAAAAGCAAACTAACTGCATCAATAAATACAGTCTGTGCCATTTGTTAAAAGACTGTCATCCTGGGAAGAAGAGTGACTTTTTTTTTACTTGAATTATCATATGAAAGGATTGAATTTGTAATGTAAATTCCTCTTAATACTTGTGACGTTTCTGAAACGAAGATATCAGCATTGGTATTTTACATGACAGTGTCTTGGCCAGTCCGAGCGAGTGTGCATGCTTTGACAACAGAAAGACTAGCAATTATCAAATGCTAATTTTATTTAACAGGAGAGCCCACCGGCAGTCTGTCTGCCTCTCGCTGTGAATGCGAAACACATTTTCTTCCCATATTTTTATTTTGCTCATCAGCACCATATGAACACGAGGCTCATCCTTCATTTCGTCTCACTGCCAGCTGTGACGTTATTTGGCTTCATCCACCCCACTCCCATTTTTATTATAATAAACGGGAACCCGGAGCCGTCCTGTGGATACATCCAAAGCAATAATCGCTCGTTAGCCTCGCCGTTCGGAGAGGGGAGGATTATCGTGAAGCTCTCCAGTGGCGAGCGGGGAATAGCCCAGTGCGCTTCGCCCTCTGTCACTTCATTACCCTTAAGTGGCCCCTGGCCAGCTAACAAACCCATTATCACACGAAGCCAGAACAGTCAAATGCTGTGAGAGAGGAGGTGACAAGAACACTAATCTTTACTCAAATATAAAAGGAACATTAACATTTTTATGTCAGGATGGTACACTAGCTCGTCAAATGGCCAAGACAGATTTCATAAAGTATCCCACACGGCATCCTAAAGACCCCAGTCTTAGCAAACTAATATTATAGTATCTTACATCCTATAGTACAAGCAGAGACTTGTGGTTTCATTCACTGAAGGATGTTGGCTGTGTAAGTACGTAAGTAAAGTTTACTTATAAAGCACGTTTCACAGACACGTCACAAAGTGTTGTACATAAAAATATAACATAAAAATGATACCAAGGGGAATATGAAAAAACATGAGTAAGAAAAAACACCTGTGAAATATATTAGAGAACAAAGGCCAAGCAGCGTGAACTCAGCTCTATTCAAAGGCCTTCTTAAACAAGAAAGTCTTAAGATGCATTTTAAAAGAGTCAACTGACTCAGCCGAGCGCAAAGCTAGTGGAAGAGCGTTCCAGAGTCTCGGTGCAGCTGACTGAAAAGCATGATCGCCACGTGTACAGAAAAAGTATATGAATTCTCCTATGGACTGGCATCCCATCCAGGGTGTGCCCCGTGATAGATTGGCATCCCGTCCAGGGTGTGCCCTGCCTTGTGCCCCGTGATAGACTGGCATCCCATCCAGGGTGTGCCCCGCCTTGTGCCCCGTGATAGACTGGCATCCCGTCCAGGGTGTGCCCTGCCTTGTGCCCCGTGCATCTTGGGATATGCTCCAGGACCCCCCTGACCCTGTATAGAATAAGTATTAATGGCAGAGGGATATTTAAATGGATGTGTAAAATGGCTGTGAATACTATTTTTACACATTAAAATGTGTTATTCATAGTACTCCCATACCACCAGAGACACAATCATGTAAAAACTGGCTTTGGATCTTTGCTACTACTCTCTATATAAAATCCTCCTGTGAAAATTTGTTTTGAAATTAATCCAACTCACAGTTCTGTACAGCTGTGACTATCTCAGCTGACATATGAGCCTTTTTACCTCCCTCGCTATGGGCATTAAGAGAAAAAGACGAAAGGAGAATTGAGCCCCCCTGCCCCCCCGCATCCGTGTATCCAACACTGCGAGCCATGAGAAAGTTATTCCTGATAAATACCACTGTTGACGTATGTAGCATTCTCCTGTTCCTTACTGTCGGCTGCTCCAGGTCGTCAGCTGTTTGTTGCTAGCATTTATAACGAGATGTCAGACTCTCGTCATCTCTGGATTCAAAGACAAATAGTGACGGCATCTGGAAGGCAGCAGGAATAGTGCGCTGTGTGAGCCACGTAACCTCCCTGCGCCCGCGAGCCACAGCAGACATCTTCAAAGCACGCGTCAGCTGTGGCAGTGTCTAACTCATTCTTCTCGGGATCAGTTTGTTCCCTGGTTCATCCGGCGCTGAAAACTGGGTCGCGGAGACTGATGCTCCTCAGTTGTTTTCTTAGAATTGCAAACTTTGTCTTGGGGCAAAGGGGCACCAGCAGGTCCATGTGAGACTCATAGCTAACAAGCTGAGAAGGAACAAAACAGCAGAAGCTCAGATCACCCGAATGGAAGCACTGATGGGAAGCTGATTACAGAGTTGTGGTCTGTTTGAGTGCAGCCTGTTTTGAAAGCAGGGACCTTCATCCTATAAGGTCTTATGAATAAATGTGATTTTGGTTTAGTTAAAGCTCATTTTTACTTCTTGTTTGCATTATATGTCTATATTTGGGCCACGGTTAATCACCATCCTGGTTCCCCACATGGAGGGAGTCCACTGAAACAAACATGCATGGTGTTCTAACAGTGCTACCTTTGCCCTTGCTTGGTTCACAGAGGGTACAATGCTGTTTGTATTCGTTTGCAATGGCAAATGTATTTGCCCCCTATTTCTTAATGTACCAGAGTACCTGAGCAATTCAGTTTTGTTTGCCTGCCAATAATTCTTTCTGTCCTCCCGCATAAAAACCACCCAGTGCACTGCTGAGCGCTGAATACCACTCATGGGTGGTACCACATCCATCCCCAGGGGGTCAGTTTCAACATTTTGTGGTGGACAGAGAGGGGCAAGGCGATAAATCAGAAATCCAATAAACCAAAAACCGTCATACACTATAAATCAATCAAAGAAAGCAAACCAATAATAGCAAATAATGCGCAGAGCTCCCGAGGTATCTTGATTGCCACTATGACTTCAACGGAAGTGATGGATGGTTCCTGCTGCGAGTTGTGGGCGGGGCATGGATGGGGAGGCGGGGTCTGGATGGGGAGGCGGGGTCTGGACGGGGAGGCGGGGTGAAGGATGACTGGGCGGAGAATTGCTGTGGACGGAGCTGACCTTACAGCGGCCCGTAAGACTTTTCTTTAGGAAATAGCCTTGACTGCCCTCATACAATTTTTTAAGCATTCTTTAGTTTTCTAATTAAATTGAACCCTGTGGAATAGAAAAGGAATAGATATATTAGAGCTGAAGAAACTATATTACTGCACGCAAAAGACTAAAGAAAGCCAAAGTAATTATATATTTATATCTTTTTTATAATAATAATAAATAATAATAATTTTATGACCCTAGTTTTCATTCCTGCAGCCCAAGAATTGGGTTTTTCATCCAGAGTAATTCAAGGGAATCCAGTTTTATTTTGCTGGTTTCACACACAGCTCCCAGTGCGCAATCTGTCTGTGGGCACAGCATCAGATTTATGCTCTAACCCTCTCCCCATAGGTCCATTTCTTTTACTTAAAATGAAACCAATCCAAACATCACGAAATATGGCTCCAATAACTATGTGAGCTTCCAAACTCAGGAGACTGGGTGATTTCTGTGGACTAACAGCCTCCCAGTTTCCAGAAGCTGTTCCTCTTCTTATGTCTGACATATAACTGGCCCAGTGTCAGAGGCCTCGACAGTTACCTCATATTCTGTGAATCTTTATTCTCCCACTGTATTAGATATACATAGAAAGACTTAGATATCTTTATGAAGCAAGTGTTGAGTAATTACTGTTGCTACTATTTTAACAAAATCTTCTGCACAATTTACTGGAAATCTGAAAATTAATTTAGGAATTTTTGGAGTATGGTAATTACTACTTTAAAGACAACTGTGGTATACAGACCCCTGGAAAAAAACAGCCGAGAGAATGATGAGATTTACAGAAATTCACATGAATTTTAGTTGCTTATACAGCATTCTGCACTTACTGAGGTGTCTCACCAAACTTTTGCAAGCTCGCAGGTGAGTATTTTGCATATTTTGCAGGAGTGAATACTGCTGACCTGTGGATGTGTAAGTGCTTCCTCACTGCAGACTCACTCTCCTATTAATCCTTCACAGTCTCCCAATTTGCCCTTGCTGCTGCAGAGAACACAATTGCCAAAGTCTGTTTCCTCTCAGATCTATCTATTTTCCGACCACTAATTCAATACATTCATAAAACCCATATATAATTTGCAAGGCCATTAATGTAGTGACTAAAGCAAAAATACGCATTTATAAATAAAAGTCAGAAATGAAGTGTTCCAGAAGTAATCATGAATCTCAAACATATCTTAGTTTAGCAGTAGAAATCAAAAGAAAACTGTGTACTTGCCGCCACCTTGTGGTTTGATATGGTGTGACAGCTGTGAGGTGTAATCTAATATTCCTGCCTTAGAAGGACGGCTGTGGGTAGTGATGTTTCCTTACATTTCCTGCATTTCAGGTTCAAATCCTGCTTGGACCCTTTGTGTGTGGAGTTAGTATGTGTGAGCATTTCTCACGTATTCAGTCAGCCTGACTAGACCCCTATGATGGACTGGCATCCCATCCAGGATGTACCCCAGCCCCGTGCCCTGTGCTGGACTGGCATCCCATCCAGGGTGTCCCCTGCCCCGTGCCCTATGCTGGACTGGCATCCCATCCAGGGTGTCCCCTGCCCCGTGCCCTGTGACGGACTGGCATCCCATCCAGGGTGTCCCCTGCCCCATGCCCTGTGATGGACTGGCATCCCATCCAGAATGTACCCCAGTCCTATGCCCTGTGACGGACTAAGCAACGCCCTGGATGGAGCTACAAGCACACAGATATTTACACACTGCAGCCTGTATGCATGTGATTTTCCCACCTTATTTAGTCTAAGTACCTTTTTCGTCATCTGCAGCTCTATGATCCATAGGTCACACGCTGAGATGAAATTACAAACTTGGTCACAGTACTAGAAAAATAGTGATAAATAGAATATGACATCTAAACACTGACACTTGGGCAATTTAAACACATAACAAGACAGACAGAAAAATACAAAAATGAGCAAGGAATTTAAGATATTCAGGGAAGGAAATTTTGCCTGTTGATTAAGCATAATATTCACCAGCATATATTTACTAGTGGTGTCACAGGAATGGACCCTGCCCCGTATGGCAGACTCACTAGATTATCTAGGATTATCAAAGCTTAAAACTCAGTATTTGCATGGTGAGCAAAGCAATTCAAAGATGTACCATTAATGCTGTAAGCGGCCTGCCGAATAGTATTTTGAGATTTAAAGGAAAGATGTAGGGCTGAATATCGGTTAAGCAGGATAGACGGTAAACTGGGACACATAGATCTATGTGCCGTTTCGGTCTGTTAGCTTAACTTCAGTTCTTGAGTTTTCAATAATTCTTTTATGTTTTAATAATGATTACTATTATATTTTGTGAGATGTGACCAATGTTTTTTGTGGGTTTTCAGACAAAAAGCTTAAGACAGTTATAGAGCAGGAGTTCAACTCTTCGGTCGTGGGTAAAAAACAAAATGGCCCCCGGTCGACAACTGTTACCGTCATCACCCCCAATTAGAATCTGAGCATTTTATCACATCATTGTGGCTTTAGAGGTTACACCGCGAGATTAGTCAGCGTTTAATCATACCCTAAACAGCAGACTTTGCTATTTAGTCAAGTAGGGAGCCTTTAGCTGCTGACGGTGAGTTTGGTACCATCAAAAAAAACAGCACCATCAAAAAATGAGTTAGACTGTACTATTGTACGTATTTTGTATGACGCTACGTCTGGTTTTTAGAAATGGAGTTGAAAGATTGATATAATGGTTGCTTTTATATTTAGATTTTATTTTTGGAAATACAGTGACTAATGCATTGATTACATGCATGTCCGTTATATATGGCTTCAGCAGAGCACCACAAAAGTTTACTAATTATAGCTTGAATAAAAAAAGAAAAGGTTAATACATAACAATGAAACATCAATTTCTGTTACCATTTACTAAAATGCCATCTTAAATTTGTTAAGTCCACAAGTTACTAATTTTTTGGATAATATCAGTGAGCATCACTTATCCTCTAACCACTGCCGTAACTTGATCATCGCTGTAAACATTTTCGGCAATGGAGCAATTCGTTAAGTGGTCTAATTTTAGTCAGACATTTTTAGGTTCACCGACTGTCAACATCGTAATCTTCATTTAGTGCAACAGCGGGAAGGTCAAACCCAGCTGCCTTCATTATCTTCAAAATATCCCAGTTTGGGTTGAAAGGGTACTTATGGCTGCAGAGAAGAGAGGGCTGGAGATGACTCTGGGCTCTGAGTGGTTTTCAGAAGAACGGCTGGAATCTCCACCAAATGCCGAGTGTGTGTGCACTGCATTTGGATGATGATGTCATGGCGCTGCCATTTCAGGACTCCCTGGTAAATAAAAACAGGCCGGTGCAGCAGCCTGATGCCATGATCCAACTCTCACCCCCCCATGGTGGTGCTCAGGAACCACACAGAAAATAATTAGCGGCAGTCCTGCTTTAATGTACGGTACAGAATAAGCATGGGGGCTTTCCTTCATTCTTATACTTCATGGGAAGCGCAGAAACAGAAAAAAAAAATACTACTTTCAAAAACAACCATAGTCACCACATATTCCAGGTTCAGTCAGTAAACAACAAAATACTATGTGCAAACAGTGAATTTACCAATATGGGCCAATTTAATAAGCAATAGCATTACATCACCTGCCATCACCTGTCTTTTAAACAGAGGCAGAAACAAGGATGCTACTTGTTTGTTTATAGCTGGCTTCAGTCTACAGCCAGCATGTCATTGGAAATTATGTATTAATAATGGCACTGGTGGGTAATTTTACCCTTTGCTAATTGGGCAGCTTGATTAAAATTTAAATTGAGTAGCATCTATGGATACGGCTAAAGGAAACCTACACAGCGCAAACACACACAAGCATTTCCCCGATACTGAGAAATGACATGCAGCAGAATGTCCTTCACAGCTAGACGCTAAGTATTGCCAGCAGGGAAAATTCTCTTCCATCTGGATCCCGGATCCCCCCCCCCC